TGCAAACCAGTCAGCTTAAACAAAACACTACGCTCTATTTTATTGTTGACACCCACAAGCATTATGCCTCAATCGCCAAAAGCTCTAGAACCAAGAATGCAACTCATTACGTTCTTTTTCAACTATTTTTAAAACTCTCTGACATATTATCAACTCAATGAAGCATGAATATTCTAGTATGATGCTAACCCAAGTGATTTAATAAATTAAGAAAGTTTGCTTAAGATTGTGATGGACTGCGTAAGACCAATTTCGCAAAAAAAGAGGGGTCCTCATCCATTAGCTTTTAACTGTACTAACGAAATGTTCAAAGGAGGTATGATACACGCGATAAGTAATTAGAACATTAAGCAAACACAAATGGGATAGCTTATAGGCCCAAACATCTTACTACAGTGGACACTGAAAAAAGCTTGATCATTCAATGAAGGCTTCGCACTAGAGGGATAGAATTTATTGAAATTGCATTGACCAGAAAAGCAAATCAGCACACATGTCATGACATTAAATCGATTAAACATCAAGTAGAATGTGCAAAGATCGGAATTATACAGAGTTGCATTGCTCATCGTCTTACGAAGCTGGAATTTTGGGAAGACCAAATTCGTCCACTTCCAAACCTTCCGCAACCTGAGAGAAGCGTAAGATTAGGCAGATTTATAGCATTAAAGTGCAATGACTAACCTTAGAGCTTGTCGGCCTCGCAGTTGGAACACCTGGAGCATTCAACGCTTCGTCTAAGTAGGTGGTGTCCGTCTCGCCCTCAAGCTCATCGCCAAGCAATGCCAGCTCAGCTTCGAGATCAGCCTCATCAATCTGAAAAGCTCTTTTCAGAAATGAAAGATTTCAGGAGATGCTAGAAGATTGCATTAAAGACTGAAAAATACATGCGCGCAAAAATCTTTCATAACCTATAAAGCTTACATCTGGGGTATCGTACTGCCGACTCATGGCTTCCTGGATCTCATTGTTCAAATCCAACATGTCTTCCATTTGGTCTTGAAGATCTTCAATCTGAATAAAAGGTTGAGGTAAATTAAAGTAGCAACTTATGCAATGAACTATGACTGAGTTCAGAACGTAAAAACAAAATCAAAACCGTGCCCCACAAAAGTAAAATGAACTCCTAACTTACCTTATCGATATTAACTTTCTTATACTCCTTCTGCATAGTTTTCAATCCTGCTTGCATAGCAGCAAGAGTGACCTGGAAATACCAGATACGTTACTTTAAAAGCAGTTTTTCATTTAACATAGGTACAAGTACCTGATTATCCTTCATTCCTTGAAGAGCAAAATTACTCTGGTCCATATTGAAAGCCTGCTGATCAAGTTGACCCTTTTGATTTTCATACATCCGTTTTTGTTTTAGCACTCTGGAAATACTCAGTGGAACGTGCCCAAGAGATAAATCAGACAAAAGTGACAAGTCATGGAAGCAAATAAAAAAGGGAAAAATCAACTCGAAGAAACATCTATACTTACCTCAAAGCCTTCTGCTTGACCATATTCTTGCTAGGCCCTTCCCGCATCTTAGCCATTTGGTCTCGCAG